TTCCATCCATCCATCCATCCATCCATCCATCCATCCATCCATCCATCCATCCATCCATCCATCCATCCATCCATCCATCCATCCATCCATCCATCCATCCATCCATCCATCCATCCCCTTCCGCTTATTCCGAAGTCGGGTTGAGGGGGTAGCATCTTGAGCAGGGAGGCCCAGACATCTCTTTCCACATCCACCTCCTCCAGCTCTTCTGGGAGGACTCCAAGGTGTTCCCAGGCCAACTGAGAGACATAGTCTCTCCAGCTTGTCCTGGGTCTTCCCCAGAGTCTCCTCCCAGTCAGACATGCCTGAAGCACCTCCCTAGGGAGGCACCCAGGAAGCATCCTCACCAGATGCCTAAACCACCTCAACTGGCTCCTCTCAATGTGGAGGAGCAGCGGTTCTATTTCGAGTCTCTCCTGGATAACTGAACTTCTCACCCTATCTCTAAGGGAGAGTCCAGCTATCCTGCAGAGGAAACTCTTTTCAACCTCCTGTATCCATGATCTCATTCTTTTGGTCACTACCCAGAGTTCATGACCATAGGTGAAGGTAGGAATGTAGACCGACCGGTAAACAGAGAGCTTTACCTTACAGATCAGCTCCCTCTTCACCATAATGGACCAGAACAGAGTCAGCAATGCTGCAAATGCTGCACCAATCCATCTGTCAATCTCACACTCCATTCTTCCCTCACTCATGAACAAAACCCTGAGATACTTGAACTTCTCCACTTGAGGCAGAACCTCACCCTCGACCTGGAGAGAGCAATCCACCCTCTTCTGACTGAGAACCATGGCCTCAGATTTGGAGGTGCTGATTCTCATCCCAGTCGATTCACACTCGGCTGTGAACCGCTCCAGAAACCGCTCCAGTGAGAGCTGAAGATCACAGCATGATGACACCAACAGGACCACATCATCTGCAAAGAGCAGAGATGGAATCCTGAGTCCACCGAACCGGACTCCCTTCGCCCCCTGGCTGCACCGAGAAATTCTGTTTATAAAAGTTATAAACAGAATCGTGACAACGGGCAGCCCTGGCGAAGTCCAACTCCCACCCTGAAGGGGTTCGACTTACTGCCAACAATGTGAACCAAACTCTCACACCGCTTGTACAGGGACCGAACAGCAAGTAACAACGGGTCTCCAATCCTACACTCATGGAGTACCCCCCACAGTGTACCCCGAGGAACACGGTCGATTGCCTTCTCCAAGTCCACAAAACACATGTAGACTGGATGGGCAAACTCCCATGCGCCATCAAGGACCCTAGTGAGGGTAAAGAGCTGATCCAGTGTTCCACAGCCAGGATCGAACCTGCATTGTTCCTCCTGGATCTGAGGTTTGACCAACGATCGGACCACAAGTGAAAATAGTGAAAAGCTGAATTAAAAAAAAAAAAAATCAGATTCTGTAGATTTTTCACTAGACATGTAATGCAGCTTTAAATACTTAATCTAAACCTGTGATTGTGTAATCACTTATATATTTAATGTTGTTTTTGTTTGTGTGTTCCTCAAAAACAAAAGTTCCTGAGGTGACAGCTAAACCAGGACTGGCAAAGATCGGTAAAGCAAAGCTTGCATTGTTTCTTTTTATTAACAATTTATTGGTTTATTTAATCATAGTTATGCAAAATGTTTTACACTGACAGCCACAAAGGAGAACGAAAAGGAACCACAGCCAAAAATCAGACATAAACCTGCTAAACCAGGTAACACAAACGCTAACAAACACCTAGGAAACAATGTTTTCAACAAATCTTCAAAAATAGAAATAAAAATGCATTCAAACTCTAAATGTACTTTCATGCTAAGAAGTTAAAGAACTCATGTTAAATTACTGAGTACATATTGATCGCTGGTAATATACAGTGCATATTTTTCTGTGAAAACATAATAAAACACAAGTAAAAATTCAGTTTACTGTATTTCCACAGATGTTGACGAAGGAACGAAAAAAGAAAAAGCAACTCGTGAAGAGAAAGGTACACTTGATCACAACAATTGTTACAGTTACAGTGTCTTGTGAAAGTATTCGGCCCCCTTGAACTTTTCAAACTTTTGCCACATTTCAGGCTTCAAACATAAAGATATAAATTTTTTTACTTTTTGTGAAGAATCAACAACAAGTGGGACACAATCATGAAGTGGAATGAAATTTATTGGATGTGTCAAACTTTTTTAACAAATAAAAAACTAAAAAGTGGGGCGTGCAATATTATTCGGCCCCCTTGCGTTAATACTTTGTAGCGCCGCCGTTTGCTGCAGTTCCAGCTGCAAGTCTCTTGGGGTTTGTCTCTATCAGTTTTGAACATGGAGAGAATGAAATTCTGCCCATTCTTCCTGTAAAACAGCTCGAGCTCAGTGAGG